TCCACTTTGTAAAATAATCGACGGTGATGACAAGGTATTTCTTTCCGAGCGGGCGTTAGGAAACAGTCCCAACAGGTCTAGTCCCCACCTCGCGAATGGCCATGGGCTGACGATTCCTCTCATCTCGGAGGCAGGTTGGTGGTGTTTGTCCGCGTGAACCTGAAAGGCGTGATATTCTTGGACAACCTTGAGCGCATCCTTCTTTATGGTAGGCCTGGAGTAGCCCTGGAGTAGGATAGTTCTCTCAAGACTCCTTGGCCCTATATGTGTGGCACAAGTGCCTTGTGTATCATTTGCAGCACGTGAGTTGCTTCCTCGTTTTCAAGGCATTTCAGATAGGCTCCAGAAAAAGATCTTTTGTATAGTTCGCCATCTACGACCGAAAAGCGAAGCGCTTTCCTGCGAAGGGCCTTGGCTGTTGTTGGATCTGTGGAAACCTCATATTTTTCAAGGAAGTTGAGGATCCCATGTCGCCAGTCTTCCTCTTCCAGATCATTCACGCTCTCCAATTGGGCCACTTCTTTGGCGACTGTGACCTGCCTTTTCTCCCTCAAAATCCATAGCCGTGGCGAGTTTGGACAATGCGTTCGCGTTCCCGTTGTTCTCTCTTCTTACTTGCTCCAAAGTCCATTCTTCCATTTGGGCTAGGGACCCTTGGGCTTTGCCAACTAGCTTTGTAAGCTCCTCTTCTTTCGTTTCAAAATTTCCATTCACTTGCCGCACCATTAATGCGGAGTCCGAGTATATTCTTACTCTCCTCGCCCCCATGCTCGCGATGAGCCTCAGTCCATTGATCAGCGCCTCGTACTCTGCCACGTTGTTGGTTTTGAGCTCATTGAAATGCACTGTGATTTCATGAATGACTCCCTCAGGAGTTTCAATCACTATACCCGCTCTTGCTCCGCCTTTTCCCGCTGCTCCGTCCACCGACAATTTCCACGCCTCCTGAGATGATGCTGCTTCTCCATCCAACGTGAAGCCTTCGATGATAAAGTCAGCAAGAACTTGTGCTTTGATGGCTGGTATGGGGGCGTAGGATATGTCATGCTCGCTGAGCTCAACTGCCCACTTGGTCATTCTCCCGGAAGCGTCCATTCTGTGGAGTATCTTCTTGAGCGGCAGGTTGGATAGGACGGTGATGGGATGCCCCTAGAAGTAAGGGTGTAGCTTTCGGGCGGTCATTGCTACCGCGAGGATAGCCCTTTCAACCACGAGATACCTTGTTTCCGTCGGGAGCAAAGCCTTGCTGGCGTAGTATACGGGCTAGTCCCGCCCATCCTCCGCCGTTCGCCTCACCAATACTGAGCTCACCGCTTGTTGGGAAACAACCAGATATAGGAAAAGTCGCTCTCCCTGGAGTGGGGCGCTCGGCACAGGCGGCGTTGATAACTTCGCTCCATTTGAATCTCGCTGGGGATTTTTTCAATACTTGGAAAAATGGTGAGCACTTGTCGGCGGAGCGTGGGATGAATCGGCTTAGGGCTGCCATCTTTTCGTTAAACGCTTGGATTTCTTTGATCGTTCGAGGCGCTTTAAGTTGGAGGATTGCCTCGATTTGCTTTGGATTCGCCTCGATTCCTCTCTTTGTGATTAGGAATCCTAGGAATTTTCTTACCTCTGCTTCGAAGACGCACTTGGATGGATTTAGGCGCAAGTCGTGGCGCCTCATATTGGTGAAGGTTTCCCTTAGGTCTTCCAGATCTGTCCCTGCTTCTTTGCTTTTTACGAGGACATCGTCGACGTACGCTTCCGCGTTTCTTCCCAGCTAGTTGCGCAACACGGCGTCTACCATCCTCAGATACGTCGCCCCCGCATTCTTGAGGCCGAATGGCATCACCACCCAACAGTTGTATCCCGTTGGCGTCATGAAGGTCGTCTTCTCTTGATCCTCTTCGGAGAGGAAAATTTGGTGATATCCTGAGAACATGTCTAAGAAACTTAACATAGTATGGTTGGTCGTGGCGTCAATGAGCTAGTCGATCCTGGGGAGTGGGTACGGGTCCTTGGGGAAAGCGCTGTTGAGACTTGTGAAGTCTATACACATTCTCCAAAGACCTGAACTTTTCTTGACAAACACCGGGTTCGCCAGCCACGTGGGGTACCACACTTCCCTTATGAACCCTGCCTTTAGCAGCTTTTGTATCTCTTCGTCCAAGGCCATCTGCTTCTCAATTGATATGTCCCGCCTCTTCTGCTGGACGGAGCGCACGTTTGGTTTGACTGCCAGGTGGTGTTCTGCCAGCTCTCGCTGTACGCCGGGCATGTCCTCGGGGCCCCATGCGAAAAGGTCCGCAAATTCTCGTAGTAGCTTGACCATGCTCTCCACTTGCTCGGGCGAAAGGTGCGCCGAGACCCAAACTTTTCTTTCTGGCTCCTCTTCGCGCAAGACGATCTCCACGTCACCCTCTAGGGCTTCTGGTCTCGGCGCATTCCCTTGTGTGTCCACAAGGTCTACATCCAAGTGCTTGATTGTGGCTTGATAGCACTCTCTCGCCAGTTGGGAATTTCCCCTAACGCATCCCACTCCGTTCCCCACAGGGAATTTTAGTCGTGGGTGACAGGTGGACGGTACCGCTTCGAAAGCACAGAGGAAACCGCACCCCAGAATTGCATTGTACGCGGAAGGACAGACCGCCACGTGGAACTCCATTGGCTTGGTCTTGGTGACGCTCCCTTCCCCCACGGTTACTCGAAGCGTGATCACGCCTAACACTTTGATCTTGGATCCTGAAAAACCCAACAACTGTGTTGTTGATGGCTTAAGATCCTCGAGGCCTCTCTTCATACTTTTCAGTGTGGAGAAAAATAGATCCTCGAGGCTTAAAAGTTGTAAATGACAGTTAGTATACTTCTACTATCATGTATTCAACCATCCTACAGTCTTGGCTTGTTCATACCACCATAGTACGCTTTTCAAACCATAGTATGCTCTTATTTCAATACCAGTCATTACCATATGGTATAGACTGGTAAAAAATGACTCAATTTTGTTTGTTCAAAAAATATATCATAGTGGATATCATTTTGAAAGCACAATTAATCTGATCTAACTATGAAAAAAAAATTAAATTTCGACTTAAAACGAGTGAGAAATCATCCGTCAAAGATTAAGGAGGGGAAAATTAAAGGCTTTCCAGGAGAGAGAGAGGGATACTGATGTGGATGGGTTACTCATAGTTAATCACCATAAGGTTACTGACCTGATCTGTTCCCCTATCTTGAGCCACCGTATCCCATCCCAATTATTGTCCAAGTTGAATGTTTGTGAGCCCCACCGTTCAACTAAGTTCTCGTCGATGTGTTTGGGTTAAATTCTCACATTCTATCATTTAGAGGACATTTTCTTACTAACTATCACTCCTTGTGTGTTTGTTAGGTATTCGTAAGAATTAAAATACTTTTAGACGTATGCTCCAAGTTTTCCTGTTATGAAAGAAACGCTTCTTGTCACTCGATCCCGGGGTAAAAAAATATGAAAAAGGTTTAGGGTCGTTTGCTTGCTGCATGAATCTAAGAAATGAGAGTTTTGGAAAACCTAGATTTATTATATAATAAATTTGGTGGCATCATGAATTTGAAAGAGTATGTTGTTTGTTTATTGAATTTTATTATAGGTTTTGTTTGATTATATTTGTTGGTATGATGAATTTTTGAACATTACCCAAATCTCACCTTCAATTATGCAAACAAGGAACTTTGAGACAAGTAATGAACTGGACTTCCAATCCATATCACTCACCAAATCCATGAACCAAATGACCCCTTAATTTCTATTTTCTCTTTCGTTATTTACCCTAGTTCGATTTATGTCAAGCATTAATGATGATAATAATTTTTATTTGTGACACATTTTGGTTATATGATGACGTTTTTAATTATTATTATTATTATTATATAATTAAAAGCACAAAAATTTTCACCGTTCATTAAGAAAAAACATGCTATTTTTTCTCCACGGTACTGTTCACAATATGATTTTATCCCATATACCCTATTTCATCGTAATCCATTTCATTCTCATTTTCTGCAATACTATTCACACGAGTTTTATTCGCTAGAACCACTTCTATGACAAGCCTAAAACTCATACGAAATTCTACGATAAGTTTTTTTTCTCTACATTCAACTTAACATTATACAAAGATTTCTTAGATCGGTTATTAAATATATAATTATTAGCTAAAACTCCTTTATTTTCAATGTTTATTTTTAAATAATGTGAACAATATTTAGTTATTCGTTTTCTATTAACCAAAATCCCATAAAATATTTAACTGATCTAATTATACATTACTTTCTAAAGTTTAATTTTTCATTAGACCATGCATTATAAAATATTTATTTAATGATGTTATATATTAGTTCTTTATCTCCTACATCTAATTTTATCATAAGCTAGTTAACTTTGACACAACAATTTGATCATTCCTTTCCTGTTACTTTCTAAAATTTTATTTTATTATTAGACCACATGTTATGAAATAGTTGTGTAATAATAACATTCAATAATAGTTACATAAATTAAAAATTCATCAATGTTACAATAATTTGATTTTATTATTAAATCACACATTATGAAAATTTATTTAATAATATGTAAGTTTTCTATGATGATTAAACACTACGTAAACCTTATGTAAAAATAGTTATTTACTATGTATCTGTATCACTTAAACATCCGCATGACATATGTTATTCGAATGACTAAGACATCACGTATAAATTATATATGTGTCTTATCCGAATAATTTTATAATTTATTGATTTAAACTAAATTATTAGTTTCTTACCGCAGCTCCGCCGCGGGTCAAAAAACTAGTTTATTAGTTTTACATTAACTTTATCATATATAATAATATATAATATGTGATTTTATAAACACATCATTACCAATTTAATAATTATTAACCATTAACCGTCCACCACTTAATTTTTTGGAACAATTTCTGGTATTCTTTTTCTGGAAACAAAGAAAATAACAAAACCATAAACTGCGTCTCATGCAGACATACTCTGTAGATATCTTCCACTCGTTCAATGGCGCAAACGACCAGAAAAGTATAAAGCCTTATCTTCTTCTTCCTCCTTTCTCCATCGTCCCTTGGCCGTTTGGTGCCACTCTAATGGCTTCCACTCATATTCCCTCCCTCTCATCCCTGATCCCTCTTCTTCAATCCAACCGTTTCTGCAGCAAACCACCATTAGCAGTCTTCACCCTGATCACACAAAAGAGTCGAAACCCACCAGCAATCAGACCCATAAACTGCAGCAGCACCACCAACGGCGCCGCAGCAAACTCAGAGCTCAACGAGACCTCCCTCGACAACGCAACCACAACAGCCAACGGCTCGCTCCCGGAACCCGCACTTCCCTTCTCCACGACACTAAACAACAGCAACTTCCCCATCGAGAAGCGGCGGAGGTCGGAGATCCTCAGGGAGAGAAGGAAGAGCCAGAGCGATCTGCTGAAGCCGGACGGGCCGCCCCCGAACTACGAGGTCGGATGGAGGAGGACGAAAGAGATCAAGGTGGAGAAACCAGTAGGGTACATGATAATGGATTTCCTGGAGAAGCTGGAAGGGCTAATGGAGAGGGAGTTCGGCTCCACTCAGCTGCTGGCCAAGGTCGGGGAGATAGTGGCAGAGAGGGCAAGGGAAGAGGCCGAGTTGCTCAAGGATGAAGGCAAAGTGGAAGAGAGGATGGTCACTGAGCTGTTCAGAGTTTTGAGGCTGATGGAGATGGATTTGGCCATGGTGAAAGCTGCTGTGAAGGAGGAGACTCTGGAGGAGAGGCTGGAGCAGGCTAAAGCTAGGTGCAGGCAGGCTATTCTTGTTGCCAATTCCTTTTGATACATGTGCTTTTTCATGTAAAGAAAACCTTGATCATGGGGGAGACCAAATGATTCATGTTAAGAGTAGGGATTTGGTTATAATAAACAACACACCAGAGATACCGAAGAGGAAAGTGACCATTTCTTGTAGCTCAGGGATTCTCTTCGCAGGCTTAAAAGAAACAGTACGAGATCGATATTATCTTTATCTGCAACTCAAGCCATTAGAAAGAAATCATTCTCAACATGGTACAAAGAGAGGGCTCTCGTGCTTGAGTACTCACGAGTAAGCTCACGAATTCGATTATGTATGTCAAAACGTGTAAAGGAATCGTATCAGATCGATACTCAAAAACATTTTCTAATTAAGATTTCTCATCACTTGTATTTGGTATTTTGAAGTACATCATGTGATTTGTTCAGGGACTATCAACAATTCAAGTGTCCCTAAATTGAGGGTATACAAAATCAGTAACAGCAAGTTAATAGATCTATTCTATACTTGTTCCTGGGCACCCGACGTCTTGTTCTTTCCATCAAGGTTCCCCTAAAAGAATTGCCATCTCATCTCTGAGTGGTTTGAAGTCAGGACGGCTATTTCTATGGCAGAACGAACTAACCCTATTGTCTTCTACTTTTTTCTGGGTTTAGATTTGTAGGTTACCTGACACGCTCCAATAATCATACGGACGTGAGGGTCGTCTTTTGGTATTTTAGTTAGGAAGCTTTTGGCAGTGGTGTGGCTTCCACAAGCCAGAAGAACTTGGTACATCCTGCACAAGCAAAAAAAAAAAAAAAAAAAAAGGAATAATTTCAGAGACAATGTAGCAGGCAGAGATCTGTGTCATTCCTACTTAAGGAACATACCTCAAATAACTCAAGACATTGTAAGGAAGACCAGCCAGTTCATACTCTTTCCACACGGAACGTGCATGAGCCAAGTCCTTGGCCCTGCCGCAAGTATGCAAAAGAAAATCAAGACTTTTTCGGGAAGGGCTTACACCAAGTTCACATTTGATTATTCCTAGCAACTTTAATCCGATCTCTAAGTCTGGTCGTTCTGTATCAGCGATAGTTGCAAAGAACTGCAAGATTTTGATATAAACAATAGAGAAGATCATGGTGTCAGTCAATGGTGTTGACAGCATTTAGAGAAATCGACAATGAATACAACTGAAAAAAGAAACGGCTGGAGACAACCAAGACAACACAGCCGTAGACAGATAACTGGAAAGACCATCATCTTCAAACTAAATACATTGTGAGCAGATGACAAGGTAGTAATGGCCAGGAAATCAAACCTCATCAAATAGCACTTCCATTGTGACTTCGTCGTCTGAAAATTTCTCCATGAGTAGTTTGAGCAAATCATAAAGACAACTGAATATGAAGGATATTATTAGACGCAAGCTTTAACCAGCAAGAGAAGGATACTAAAGAAAATACAAACATTCTCAAGTAATCTGATTGTTGTTTACCTGGAATGCTTATTACGAATACAATGTATCACAACCCTGCAACATGCATCTACCCAATACTCAGAATCATGCACTTCTTCCAACAGTGCAAGTAACTCGCTTATCTCTCCATCAGATGGAAATTGCTCCTATGAGTAAACAGATTATATATAACAGAGGTCACGAGTCCTGGACATATGTGACAATTACAAAAACAAATTTGGTTTCCCTTCATAAGTGAACTTACAATTAGATTTCTGACAGCTTTTGACGTTATATTGTTTCCTGCGTCCTTAAATTCCTTGTATATAGCAAGTGCATCAAAAAATTGTCCATGGCATGCCAGAGCAGATACGAGAACACTTTTAACGTCCTCATCTACAGTGGTTTTGTCCAATAGTACCTACCGTCCATGAAATCAATGGTACAAAATAGATATTAAGTTTCTTTTTTCTGAACTTGAGTAAAGTAAAAGCCTTTATCAATACCTGTTTTGCTTTCTCAAAATTTCCAGAGGCTGCATATGCATTGACAAGCGCCATTGGAACATGCTTTGTAGATTTAACAACATCAAGCTGCATCTTTTCGTGATACTAACCAAAACAATAAACATGGAATTTCACATGAATCATCTTCATGCATTATACCCAGTGCTGTAAGAATGTGCCAATTTTATCATTCCTGTAGGTTTGAGAAAGCAATGCTACCTTTACAATTTGATCTTCACTCACACAATTGCCTATCAAATAGCTGTAGGTCTGAGAATCTGGTTTTACATCCGCGAGCTCCATGTCCTTCAGAACCTTCAGTGCACTATACGTATTCTTCTGCAAAACATTTTGCTAGAAGTTAGTTGAATATAGAGACCATAAACACTGACATTCAAAACGGTTTTGGCAGGCCAGGCATCAATGAAGCCACCTAATCAAACTAACAATTAACAATGACAGCACTGGCTGCGAGGCCAATGGGCAGCACTTAGAAGTTCTTATTAGCATTAGTATGTTGACAAGTAACATTGCAACTAAAAACGAAGTTATTTCCTCCAATAAATATCATTTGAGCCCCCTGCATCCCATCTTGAAACTTGAGCAGACTAGCATAGCTAAAAAGGTCGACAAGCTAATAGTTAACTTTGTTAACTATTAGTTGTCATTTGTCAACTAGTAAAAGTAAAAGGTAATATAGGTAGGAAGAATCACCTGCCGGAAAAATCCTCCCATTATAACGTTAAACATGGTTGCTGTAGGTTTGAATCCCCTGTTCTTCAGATCTTCAAGCATGGCATATGCCAGGTCAAACTGCGTTATTGAAACAAGGTTGCAGAAAACCAATAAAGAAACTATACACCCAAGGAAAAGAGAAGGATAACTAAGAGTAAAAAAGAAGGATACCAGAAGTACAAATATATAGACCAAAAAGGGTAGGAACTTACGTCCTTTATCCTCACACTCAAGGTTATCAGTTTCCTGAATGTATCAATAGTTGGTTGCAAATCATGATTGCTCAGCAAGGAGTACATCCTCCGGACCTTAATTGAACAAGGAAAAACAAAGCAACATAAATAAGCGCCAATAGTTACAAACACTAGTCAAATTGATCACTGGAAAGGTGGCCTGTTAACCAAACAAAAGGAAGACAAAACATTAATATATTGCCAGTTTAAACTACAATTACTCAAAACTTTCTATACAAGTAAAAGAGGTAGAAGTGGCATTCCTAATCGAGTAATCGACACATTAGAACTCCAAAACACAACTTCATGAAATATATGATATAATACCTGGAAAAGCTTTAAAAACCCAATGATCAACTATCAACTAAAAAAAAGCAAGCAAAAAATTCCACCCGAAGTTTCCTGACTCAAGGGCGCATAAAAATTACTCACTGGTAATGAAACAATGACTATCAATGGGCAAAAATTGTCTTAACCAGGCAATTACCAGAATATAGTCCGAGCTTTCATCTATGGCATCCAGTAGTTTACAAAACGTGTCCATGGATAAGGATAATTGATCTTCATATATTTGGTCGACCAAGTCAAGAGCAACGTAAACCTGTATAACAACAATAGGGAATCAGTAAAGGGTAAAATCCTGGAAAGCCCAGATAAAAGTTCAAAGATTAAGTTAATTCATAGAGTAATTGGAGTACAATTATTGAGCAGCAACCTGGAGTCCAAGTATCCATTTCTTGAATAGATTAGAATCCAAAACGATAACAGCTTGGGCACAACATCAAATCGTACCTTGAGTTTATCACAGCAGTAAGCTATGAGCTGCTCATAAGAACCCATAGAAGGTTTTATGCCCAGGTTTGAGTGCAGCTCTTTGAACTTTAAAATGACATCTTCAACCTTCAATAACCCATCAAAATTAGCACACCTTCTAAAGTCAATAAATAAAGTAGGTAACTAAGAAAGAGAGTATGTTTATTTCAGTGCGTCCATAAGATATTGCACATATTTTAAAAGAGAGATGTAGCCAACCGAAGTTCTTTTGCATAACACTGTAAATGCAGAGCTTCTGGGTGATGAAACAAATAGAATATAGGCTTTAAATGCAATCAGCTATCAAGTGACATCCTAATAAACAGAGGGCCAACTATACAAAGAGAACTGCTTTTAGATGCACCTCATAGCAGTATGGCCAGAGACATTACAAGCAACATTCATGTAAAATCCCCACCTCTAAATTTGGAATTCCAGTAGCATAACTACAGACAAGAGTTGAGATTTTCTCTGCATCATTATCTGCATTCAACCAGGAATAGAATTAATTTACAAACAAGGCTCAAAGCTCGGACAAACTTATGGGGATTTAGTGCCCTTGGTCCTTAATAAGAGTCATATAAACCAAATGAGATTTTCTCTTTATAATAGAATTCATTTACATACAAGGCTCCAGTAGGACTGCCTCTTGAACTTTTCACTCGTTTATAATAAAAGTATATAAGATCATACTAAAATGCAGTTCGAAAGCAATAGTTTAATTTCAACAGTGAACCAATAATATCACTTCAGTAAATTCGTACCCCAAAAGTTCTCATACTTCACAGAAATTAGGGTAACTTACTTCTTAATTCGGTAGTTAGCAGTTACTATATGGCGCCACTGCTAGATGCGTGACAATAACGTGGCAAGGAAGAGATAACTTAACTTACCACAACTTTTGCATGCCAAAAGGAACTTCATCGCGGAGGACTCCAGAGACAACCTTCCAAAGGTATTAAAGATCGTGGAAATATGCTCTACTGACTCAAATCTTGTTACATCAATAACGTCCAACAGTGGCAAAATATTATTCTTCCGGTTACTTTCACAAAGTGCTATAAAATAATTTTCTGCAACCACACAATGACGTATAAATTTTTACAGGAACTGAGAGAATCCTTCAGAAAAATTGGATTATTTCTCTGAAACTGCTAAAGCACAAGCCACTTACCATGTATCCTGAGATTCTTAGTTTCGCAACCAAGAGATATTGTACTGCAGAGTTCTTGAATCTTTTGCTCATCACCAACTCTAATATATTGCAGCATCTCATAGTAACCTAATCTTGCA